TCCTCTCGGGAAGCGGGATCTTAAAGTAAAAAATGATCAAATCAGTGAAAGGGGATACCAATATGGTTGGGATTTCATCGGATATGGGACCCAAAAAGTGTCAGGATAACTATGAGAACGGTATCTCATCGGGGTCCCATTTGGAAACCGGATCACATTGGGATCGGGATACCGTACGGAAACGTATCCCAAAGTGAAATTGAATCACATTTGGAAATGAGATCACATGGGGTTGGGGATTCCCACTGGAAACAGGGTTCCATTGAGACCAGGATTTAATCTCAATCCCATTGGGATTGGGATCCCAATATCATACTTTGGAATGAATCCGAACTTGAAAGGGGATTACTTTGGTTTCATAATTGATACACATGTTTTTTAGAGGAACCATCTTATTTATCTTTTAATAGCGATGTGTTTTTTAGAGGCTCCTTAATTTTTATGTTAGCTAAAAGCATGTAGAAGATGATTCGTCACAATGCAATATTGGGCCACACAGGTTATATTAGCCAGTATTTTAAATTTTTACGGGGGTCGATGTTGACCAAATGAAACAGGAGTAAAGTAAAATGTTAAGTATACCGCGTGTTACGCACTGCCTTCTTTCGTGAGAAATTAATCTCTTATTTTAATTTTAGGGCTCTTTCAAAACAATGCACAACAAATGACGATATCATAGGAGAAATATAATAGCAAAATATGACACCCAAAACAGTACTAATTACAATTAATAAGATTTATTTAAGTATTAATATAAGTACAAAACAAAAGAAATAAAATTACAATCATCAACTTACAGAGCATGGGATGTCTTGTACCGGTACACAGTAAGTACAATGTACCAATTAATAATATACAATGATGAATGCCAATAAACACACATGAGTACTCACAGAATAATACACTTTTCTTTTGGAGTGAAAAATATCTCTATCCATCTCCTCTCGTTTTCCAATACCTCGGCTGTATATATGGGTATCGCCTGTTTCTAAGAAGATTCGGGGGCAGAATATGCATTGTAGTTGTGACTCGAATCTTTCACAAGTTTCTATAATTTACTACAAGTTTGTAACACATTGGAGTCAAGACGAACAGTCGATCGTTTGTTTTGTGGTAAACTAGATAAAGGGCACTAAACCATGCGCATTACCAGCCCCAGTACTGCTAGAGTTCACGGAACGGGAAAACGTGACGTAAACATGTCGTCTACATAACACCTCCCCTCTAAAAAGAAAAAAAAAATTGTTTCCTAAAATGTAATTCTATTCCATTGAAGAATTAAAAGAAAATGCATTTCTTCACTTCTAAATATTAAACAAAAGCTTAACAGCTTATAAACAATAACATAATTTACGTGCAGTGAAAATTAATTTCTGGACAAAGTATCAGCAATTACATTATCTTTGCCTTTAATATGCTTTATATCCAAATTATACTCTGGTAAAAATAGAGTAGATCTTACAAAATATTTCATTTTTGGAGACCATCTTATTCAAAATGTTAAAGGATTGTGATCAGTAAAAATATAATAAATGTAAAGAACAACTGACATAAAAATAAAATTATTGGAGAGCAAGAATTAAACCTAAACATTCTTTTTCTATGTGGTACAGATGCGGACGTCAAAATAAGGATAGGAAAATCAAGAGCAGCCTTCCAACAACTCAAAAATGTTTGGGTCTCTAACAACTTAGGCAGCAAGTTAAAAGTAAGGATTTTTAACGCTATGGTAAAACCTGTGCTGCTATATGGAGCCGAGACATGGAGAACAACGGCCGTAAACCTGACCAGAATCCAGTCCTTCATCAACAACTGTCTAAGAAGGATTCTCAGAATTCACTGGCCAGACAAAATCAGCAACCAGGAACTGTGGCAGCGGACAAAACAGAAACCCATNTTTTGGAATTTTTCTTTTTTTTTTTTTTTTAAATTTCCGGTATTTTTTTATAATTGTGAAAAGTCCCGTTTTTTAAGAATGTAATTTATCACTCACAGACATTATCTTGAATTTTAAGTAACACGGGGAAAAGGCATGCTGATAAATAGATATGTATTAGGCAAAATGATTGGGATAATAGCGGATGTTTGGTGATTTCCTAAAAACTTTTTCTCAAGACTTGATCATTTTTTATACCTAGAAGTATCAGATTAGGACATTTAAGGCCCCTGTACTGCACCAAAGTCAGCTTAATTTCCAGTTCTTGCAAATCGTCCTGACGTTCATTTCCACCAGTACAAACATTCATTCATCTTGACGTCGATGTCTACTATAACGAACCCTTCATTCATCTTGACATCAATGTCTACCAGGGCGAACCCTGCATTCGATAAGGTAACCCCAGCGATAAGCTCAGCATGTTAGTTTATGTACCATTATGTTAGCTTATGCATCATCATGGTAGTTCATGTGCCATCAAGGTAGCTCATTTATCATCATGATACCTTATGTACCATCAGGGTATCTTAAGACCCATCATGATAGCTTATATACAATCATGTTAGCTTATGTACTAAACATCGTAGCTTAAGAACCATCATGCTAGCTCATGTAAAATCATGTTAGCTTATGTACCATCAAGGTTGCTTATGTACCCTCATGTTTCCTAATGTACCATAAATGTAGGTTATGTACCATCATGGTAGCTTGATTATCAAAATGATACAAGTAATAACTCAGACGCTTGAAGTAAATGTATGAAAATCACACCTGCACAAATATTATTGGAATGAAAAGAGAGCTTGTTTACTTAGCTTATATGCACTTAACCAAACTTCGAGGGCTAATCCTTTGCTGAAGAATGCAATAGACACAATTAAAGGTATGACGCCAGCTTTACTTGATTACTGAACTGTTACTTCGTATGCCGGGCTAAAAAACTATTTAAAACACAACATTAACATGTTTAAATAGAATGCATTTTCTGGAATATTAATTTGAAAACATTAAAAAATAAATCTTTCTAAAATGATAAATAGTATTTTATATACGTCTACAATTAAATTGCACAACATAAAACGCATGTCAATTTATAAATAGTTTCATTATTATAAAGCATTAAATGAAATACCCATTTTAGTTCAATTTTAAAATCATAACTTATTATTACTATGTTAGAACCCTTAAAAACTAAACCTTTTTTCTTTTTTTTTTTTTGTAGTTTTGTTTTCGCTTCGGCTCTAGCTAAAATGATATAAAGCATAGATTTGTTTCGGTTCCAACTATTTAAACTTAATAGAAAATATTACGCAAAATTCAATTCAATCCATCCACAATAAATGTCATTGGTGAACGTATACTTCACATACAGTTAAGACGCCGAGTATCTTGATTACGCATTATTTACACATTAAATAGGATAACATTTAAACTTAAAAATAACTAATAAATAAATTAACATGAATAAAAAATTAAGTTTGTGAATACATGCTGTTGAGCTTCGACTTCAAAAAATGCCCTCTCACAAGGATTTAGTGACATAATTGACACTCTTCTGAGATTGACAATGAATTTTTTTTTTTTTTTTTATTTTTTTTGGTTGTTTTTTTATTTCCTCCTATATTTCATGGTCCAGGTTCAATTTATTAATCTTTCGGGGCACCTTGGTTTGAATTCAGAGTTTGCCTTCTTTTAGATAAGGATTTAGTGACATAATTGACACTCTTCTGAGATTGACAATGAATTTTTTTTTTTTTTTTTTATTTATTTTGGTTGTTTTTTTATTTCCTCCTATATTTCATGGTCCAGGTTCAATTTATTAATCTTTCGGGGCACCTTGGTTTGAATTCAGAGTTTGCCTTCTTTTAGATGACTAGCCAGTCCCTTTCATCCGGGATGCTTTTGATATTTATGCCACATTTGGCTTTCGTGGGGATGAACTCCAGAACACCAGCTATTTGGTGTCCTTTTATACACCATAATAATAAATTATTTATTTTTTTTTCTTTCCACTCAAAATAATAAATTTGTTATCAATCATTTGTTACTTTATTGTTGTTGTTTTTTTTTACTGAGGGTGGGAAGTAACAATTACATCAAAATGTTTCACTTGTTCATTAAAATATATTCACCACTGCCATATGTACAAACGAACAGGCTTTTCAAAATATATCGTCATTTCCAAAAACATTTCCCCTTAAACATTTTTGTTGACGCGATCGACTCACATGATTCAATATGGATAAAGGCTTGGTAATAGCACCAACTCCAGGCCGATACCTAGACAATCCCCAGAAAAACACGTAATGCTTAAGTAATTATGAAATAATAATAGCGTGGTACAGGGAGTCATTTTCTTAACAATGTTTCTATCATGTCAATCATGAGGATTTAACATAGTCTCTGTTAAAATATCCTTAAGATACCATATTCGTTGTCTACCTATCCCCATTCTAAGATTGTACATTTTAGTAATGATTGAGGTGATCTTCCGGACGAAGGTAATAGTTTCATTACAAAAGTAATTTGATGTACACTTGTTGTTATCTCTCCTGATTAAAAAAATACAAGGTACAAATAATTTCACAATAGTTGTTTTAAGCCTCAACTAAAGTTTTAAAAAGAAGAAATACTTTCGAAAAAAAAAATTATTTATTTTTCAGAACTTCGGTTTTGTAGCTTTCCGAAAATAAAAAAAAATATATTAAGAATAAATTTATTTTAAAAACATTAATTTATGATAAAAAAAATAATGCTATAAAACTTGTGTATCAATTGAATAAAATATTATGTGAACAATTGTCTCAAACCTACAACCTTTGACATATTATTTTTCTTGTCTGCACATTTACTTTTTTATTGCAAGGTTAAAAACACCACTTGCAATTAACGGAACCACTGTAGATATAATTCCATATCCAACTTCTTTGATCCAATCCCACGTCGAATTGTCTCTAACCTCCAGAAAATCCTCTTGAACTTTCTCCGAATCGTCTTTCAGGTCTTTAGCAATACTGTCCAGCTTCTCTCGCCTCTTAACTTCCTCTCGTTCCATCTCCTCAATTTGTTTATCCAGTTCAGCACGCTGCTTGTCTTCCTCATCCTGGCGTTCCCGATCTCTCTCCGCCTTCAACTGGTCCATTCTCTTACGATGGTCGTCTCTCATGTCTTGTATCTTTTTGGCACTGGTCATCATTTCTACCTGGTGTTTAATGCACCTCACTATATCTTGGCTGTTTGTAATTATAGCCCTGAGTGCACCAGTCCCTTTGTCCTGTTTCTTGATGCTGTCCAACAAATTTTCGGCTCTCGCTTGAAGTCCTTCCAAGAGCTTCAACTGTTTCTCAGGTTCACCCAGCTGAATGTTTCCAAGTTGTTGAATGATCAGACTTGCCTCTTTCATGCTTTCCTCCTGAATGAGAGGCATCTTGGCTTCCACGAGGATCTTCTCACGTTTATGTTGAGCCATTTTAAAATGATCATCCGTGTACCTGAGTCCCAAAATACTGAGCTGATCCACCATTTTTATCAGTTTGTCGATTTGCGACCTCATCACTGCTTCGTCCTTGGATTTATTCTCGAATAATACAACCCTGTTACGGCACTCTTCTAGCAATAGTTTAAAGGCGTCCTCTTGTTCAAACAACCAATCTACCAGAGAACCTATTCCTGTTTCAGCTGGATCGTAATCTCCAACCCGTGTTACCACAAGAATACAGAATTTATTGACAAACTCTTCACCGAAAATTTGCTTCAGAACATGGATGGTCTGTACGTCTTCTTCGGTGAATCTACCGCCGAAACGAAGAACCAGAAGGAACGCGTGGTAGCCTTTAGGATTAGCGGCTATGGCGTGATTCATGGCGTTGATGACTAAAGTCAGGGCGTCATCTTTGGTAAGGTCAGTGTCTCCAATACCTGGCCCATCCACGACTTTGATAATTCGACCGTTGTAGTCAGAGTAATCGAACTGGGCATGTTTCGTCACGGATGAATAACTTGGTGAGCTTTTAAAGCAATTTCTACCTAGGATAGAATTTCCAGTGGCGCTCTTGCCATTTCCCGTTTTCCCAATAAGAAGAAGGTCCAGATCGGTATTCTTTTGTTACATATTCTTTTCGAATTCTTGGGTACTGAAAAAAAAATATTTAAAGTTTTATGATATTTTGCTTGTGTTTTCAAAAAATAAGATTTCAAATTAAAATCCAATGTATTTATATTTTTAGAACAATATTAATGGAGAGTTAAATAAAGAAATGGGTCGTGCTAAAACTTATACCTACATTATATAAACATATTATAGTGCGGATAAACGAATGTAAAATATGTGTTTATTAGAATTAATAAACCGATGTCAAAGTGTATACAAATTTCTTATTCTTCGTTTCTCCTCCCCTTTAACAACACGGAGGCATAGCTCAAACGCAAAGTTTGTGATCTTTGTGAATTTGGTGGGTGTCCATCATACATTCGATCTAACGCCGTCGTATTCTTCCTCTGGCACTAAAATCGGTGAGCCATCTAGTGCAAAACTGTAAATCAGGTTGGTTGACAGACATTCCGACCAGATGGCCGCACCAATTGATTTGCTGCTTCGCCACACACTGATTAGGTCGATAGGATCATGAACCTGTTGACTGTTATGCTATCAAATATTTGTCTTGTGTCCTTGATCCAAAAGTCGTTCTTGTTGGTTTTATCGGCTGATCGACCTCAACTTCTCATCTCGCAGCTCAAGAGATCCTTCTCAAGAGTTACTTGATGATCAAGGCCTGTCACTGGTAAGTGAAGGTTAAAATATAGACAGAATTCATGGTCTGGCTTTGGTATAATTTTTTATTTATGGGTGCCTTTTTGCCTGTTTATTTAGTTATAGCTGAATGCGTAGCCCCTTTGAACTCTTGTTATATTCTCTCTGTCCATATTTCTCTCTTCGTCAACTGTGCCTCCCAGGTAGTTAAGATCCTTCCGTTGTTCGGAAAGCTTACCAACTGATGAGCCTCATAAAACTTAAGACATAATAGTCTTAAGTTAGAGTTTCCCGAATGGTGGTCAACGAGCCCTACTTTGGCGGTCCGAAATAACATGGGCAAAAAAAAATAATAATCCGGGGAATACTAAAATGTTTGTGACTCGTTTCAAAAGTCAGGGAAACAGAAACAATGTCTCTGATCAAAGTTTTAATTGAAATGTGAAACCTATCATTTAAAATTTCGGTGAAAGATCAAAGCCAAACAAGTTCGTTAGACACATTGTTGTTTATAATGAACATGCTTCAACTTGCAACTCAAAGTAATGTTTCTATGATCAAAGTGGGATGCTAGGTAACAAGCATAATATTGGTACAATGAGTGCACTACTATATTATGTAGAGTTAGGAAACCATTACAATTGCTTTCTTTAATCATGGAATGGGGGGAACATAACACAAAATCAGTGCACAAAATTGAGTAAGTTTTTATTGCAATCATATTTGTAGTCCACGGTCTCATTTAAAGGTCATAAGAAGGCAATGGACTTATTTACCAGCCATAAGAAGGCAGTGAACTCATTTACCAGTCAGGAGAATCAATGAACTCATTTACCAGTCAGGAGAATCAATGAACTCATTTACCAGCCATAAGTGGGACATGGAACGTTTCTTTAAAATGCATCTATGAAAATTTAAAAAGAAACCACAATCTTTGGTCCCTATTATTTTTCCAAGGAACCCTCTAGGGGTTTATGGAACACGAGTTAAGAACCCCTGTCCTAAAACTAACCTTCAATAAAGAGATCCAGCGGCACAGCTTGAGACAAGTAAACCATTCAATAAAAACACAACGAACTATTCATTACACAAAGCCCTTACGCCAGTCATTAGAGGTCATTACATTATTTCTAAGTGACTAAAAATCACCAATTGTTTGTTTTTGTAATTATTTTTTTTTCTGTAGAAGACATTTAAGTGTGGAGGCTAAAGAAGGGTTGGCCATATTTAATCTGAGGGCATCGACAACCCGCATTTTTTTAGAATCCCTGCCTTTCCTCTTAATTCATTTTTTTAAAGAAACATGTGACGTCCCCATAACTTTAAACAATTATTTAAAGGTCATTTTTCATGAAATAGGCTAAAGTGTGTTTATGTATACTTTTACATTGCGTGATGATGCTAATAGTTAAGTCTTACCTAAATTGGATTCATAAAATCATAGGTTAAAGAAAGCTGCACTTTGTCACTGATACAATTTTCAACAGTCCACTCTAGTACAGCGCTTCTCAGCCTGTGGGTCGAATGACCTTTACACAAGGGTTGCTAAAGTCCATCAGAAAACACATTTATGAAGTAGCAACCAAAAAATGTGTATGGTTGGGGATCAGCAAAACATGAGGAACTGTCTTAAAAGGGTTGCGGCATTAGGAAGGTTGAGAAACACCCCTCTTGTAAATTTTGTTTAAAGCCGTGTCATCTCAGTGGCTTAGTCTTTGAAACTAAGAAAAAAAAATAGATATATCAATACAGTATTTAAATACAAATACACTATGGTTCATCACTTATGGCCTTGCCATTATAGCACGTATATAGTGTTAGGGATGGAATCTTTAATTAAATAGTCGAAGACGTTGTTTCTACAGATCTATATACCTCATGAAGACTGATTTGTGATCTGTCTGTAGTAAAATTTTCACAATACGTGTGTGTGTGGCATTGCAGGCCGTAGCGCTTTTACCAAGAAGCTTTCACAGCCCAACAGTGTTGTGGAATGTGACCTCGGGTTATGTGACAACAGCGACTACGAGCGCAATGAAATAATGGTGGGGGTGAAATAAAGGTTAACAGCAGGCAACCGTTCCTATTTCAGCCTACACAAGCCTCTTAGGATGCAAAAACTTCTCAAGGGGAGCAAAGAAGACTGTATACACCACTGTCGTAAGACCAGTAGTAAGTTACGCTAGATAGATTTGGACCATTACCAGAATAGCAGAGAACCTGCTCAATACATGGGGGGGGGGGGGAAATCCCCGGAAAAAATGTATGGGCCTGAGATAGACAATGATGTCTCGAGAATACGTGCAAACCAAGCTCTATACCAATTGTAAAAAAAAGACCTACCCATAGTCGCAACAATAAAAAAAAATGCAGACCAGGCTGGGCAGGACATATTGAAAGGATGCTGTATTATGGATCAGCAAAATTGATAAACAGGCAGACGCACTGGGGCAGAAGACTCGCCGGCCGTCCAAGACTGAGATGGATCGATGATGTAGAGAAGGATTTACACCAGTTGGGGGGTTCATGCATGGAGGCGGGAAACCATGGATCGATCCGAATAGAAGGATGTGCTGGAGCAGGCCAGGGCCCTACATGGGCTGTAGCGCCACTGATGATGATGATGATTACGTTACAACAAAATAGCATGAATATTGTCTCCCCCATCTCTTAGAATACTCAAATATAGGAAACAACCATGTTTGCTGTTGGTATAAGTTCAGCATTTTTTTTCTCTGGAATCCTAGGGAATAGTGATATGACTTATTTTGTGTCAGAAAGTATTATTTTTTTTGGTTATATTTTAGTATATTTGCAAGTCTGCATCTTTAGAGGATATTGTAATATTAAGTAATGAAGGGAGATTTCACATTGAGACATGGGGGACCCAACACGTTCTCTCTAACATATCTCATGTAAGTAGAGGCTAATACGTCTTTATGTGTCTGTGTTTTTAGAATGAAATTGTTAGGTGTTAGTAAAAGAAGATTTATGTTCGTCACTTATATTAGGAAGTGTTTTAATCCCTTGTTAGCTCGGTCAATTTGACTTGTAGCCATGATATTGTAATTGCTGAACATACAGCTGTCCACTGAATAGTTATATGGAATTAGATACCAGCGTGTACGTGAGCCTAAAACACCAACCCTTATGTCGTTCTGGTTACATATACCTCAATGTGCTTATAAGCGATTGAAACAACAGTAGCCAAACAGCGTAAAATACGTGTAGTAAGCTAACTCTCAAGCCTTGTGCTAAATACCCATATTGGAAATGGTGCATATGGTACGATAATATGACCAGCTATATTGAATAGTTGGACATTCTGCAGCACGCTTGAGACCTGCCATGGGTGCATCTTACATAGACACCATACATGGACGACCGTACAATAGCAGTCTGTAGACCTTTATGTTAGCCCTCACATCCCAATCTGATTCTTAATGTAAGACGGTGAACGTGCTAAGAGTTAGACGTTGCGAAGTGATTTAGTTTATAAATAAAAGATTTTTAAAAGAATACAATTTCTATTGCCACTTGTACAAAGGGTAATACTTTATTATTCGTTAAGTATATTTTGCCTTAACGTGTTGTATTAAGAGTTATTGGACCTGTTAATCGTTAGTCAGGATATTGTGAACCGGTACTATTTGTATCTTTTCAGAAATTGTTCCTTTTTTATGCTCTTTCTTAAGATTGTCCCTCGGACACTGTTTCTAATTTTTTAAAATTAAAATATACCTCTCCTGTTTATACAACACTGAAAGAACCAAATAAAGTCTGTAATCCTCAAATTGTTAGCCAAGCCTCATTAGCCCCACACGTCTTCGTGTGCTTTTAGTAAAGGGCATATGCTTATTGAGAAGAAAATCAGACCGGTCTTATATCATGCAGACATTATGGATGATACAATGAAAAATATGGACAGACAATTAACACAAGCTGTCTCAAATTTTCAAATGAGACACAATTATTCATTAATCTTGCCTCGAAAGGGAATTCACAGGCCAATATATACATGTACGGACTATAGAGTTTAAAAAAAAAAAAATTCACGCAAAAATTATATTATGTTGTATTATTGAGGCTGGTATTATTGCTATCAGCTCTCTTCCCCCCCCCCCCCAAC